ACAATCAACAATTCCCCACAATTACAGTGGGATATAATGGACAAAACACAACAGAAGAGGTTATGCAGGGCTCTCGGCTACACTTAGTGATTCTTGATCACCTACAAACTTACCCTAAATTAAGTGGAAGCACTATAAATTTAGCAATGCAACATTTATAAAAACAGCTCTTTAAAGTCAGTTTACTGTGCTATAGCATACTTCTTAAAAACCTATTCCTTTGTCTTACATTCTGGTCGTTTTCTAAAGAGTCTCTAACAAAACGGTTGCAATGACAAAAGCAAAAAGTCAAGCACGGTTCACAGCAGTTCAACTTCAAAATCTAAGTAGGAAGACAAGCTTAACTGCCTCCTAAAGCAAGACCCAGGAACCAGGTCAATTCTGGGATGACTCTTGAAATGCCAGTTCCTTTTAGTGTGAGCCTGGTGAACTGAAAGCCTTTTCTCTACACTTGAGAGGCAGCAAGGAGATTTGTCCTGGCTTAAAACCAAACTCCAGTGGCAGGTCCAGTTGGAAACAGTGCTAATGGGGTGAAGGAACAAGGCTTTCTTTGGTTTCTGTTGTAGTCAGTAAAAGCCCAAACACCAAGTCTCTTAACGTCTCATTGAATGAAATGGTCAGACAGCTAGCATTCGACCTGGCAACTAATTACCACAGTCCTCTTTTCACCAACTTTTGTTCTAATATCTAATCCCACAGATTATTTTACAATCATACTTCAGTTGTTTTCCTTTTTCAATAACAAGTAACTGCAAGTCTTTCTCCCCCTCTCAGAATTTCCTAATTCCTCTCCCTGATTTTTCCATCTAGTGCCACGAAACCCATTAGAATCTCGCATAGGATGAGTCTGAGACAGCTCCCTGCCTCTGTCAATCTTTGATGACAGAGCCCTGAAAACATTTACCTCTGCTCGACCTCCATCCCCAGAGCCTTCTTTGTTCTTCTTCTTGCCTCCTTCCTTTCGTTTCTCTTCACTGGCACCTACCTAAATAAGCAAAAAAGGCATGAAGGTTTTACATTTTAATCTCATTTGACACCCATCCATGCTGCCTCCAGAAAAGTTTTGAGGATGTTATTTTAGCATCTATTTTTTTTAAGTGGAAATCTGATTTTGAAAGACTAGAAAATTTCACCACTGTCAAAGACAAGTTAACAACTTACAATAAAGACAAGCCCTAAAAAAGTAGAAGAGTTACTTGATAATATTCAAGTCCTCAAATTTCATTCATTTTACCTGTTCACATGACTCTCGCTTCAGGTTTAAATGGACATATACTAAATATATAGCTACAAGAAGCATGCAATTTATTCAGTAGTATTTTCAGAAAAAAAAATCTAATGCAATATATATCCATCCATCCCACAAGTACTACCCAGAGCCTCTGTGCTCACAGTATTTTTTTTTTAAACCCTGTAGAAGAAGCAAACATAAGACCCAATCCCTACCATGTGCAAACTTAATCTCTTTGGGGAAACTAAGGCATACATATGTGAGAAACTCCTGAAGGAGAAAAGAATACAGCTGTAGTACTCTGATCAGATGTCAGATAAGCTAAGACACTAGTAACTGTTAGGGCTTTAAAGGACTTTAAAGGATGGAGAAGATTTCAACAGGCTGGATTTTGAGAATGGAGGAAATTTTGTTCTAGGTGTACACAGAAACTTATTGTTGGAAATGTTAGAGAGAGAGAGAGAGAGAGAGAGGAGATTACTAAACCTTTTAGGAAACACTGTCAGTTAAGACAGATGAGGGCTTAGACAGAAGCAAGCACTAAAAGTTACCATAAAGATGTGTACTTCAATTAGAATTCAATTCAATTCCAGGAAGTCATAGAAAGTTTTACAGTAAGTCCTGTGCAAAAAGGCAACCAATGGCAAGAACTGGTCTTACCCGTGGTTCTCAACCAGAAGCAATTTTGCCCCCAGCAGATACCTGGCAATGTCTGGAAACCTTTTCAGTTGTCACAACCGGGGGTGGGGAGTTGGGGGAAGGTGGGAGGGCGGTGTGGTGTGGTGCGTACAACAGGCAGAGAGTGGGTAGAGGCCAGGGATGTTGCTCACCATCCAACAACGCACAGGACAGATTCCCACAACAAAGAATTATCCAGTCCGTGATGTCAAGAGTGTTGAGGTCGAGAAACACGGAACCACATTATGGGATACTCCAAAGAGCATCTTCTCAGAAATAAATTACTTACTTCTTTGTAACTGCTCAGATAGAAACATCCTAATGCAAATTTCACTACATAAAGTTTTACAGTTTACAAAGTTCCTCCACAATCACATCTAATTCTCATAGAAACACTGTGAGATGACTACCATTATTATTCCCATTTTATAGATAAGATTAAATTTTTAAAAGTTAGATGATTTTTCTAGGTTCAGAAAACCTACAAGTGGCAGGAAAAAAAGATACCCACCCAGATGTTGACAGTGGTCAGCTCTAAGTGGGGATGTTATCATCAGCAGTGAAGGAGTTTTGAGGGTAGAACTGGGGATGTGATGGGAGGACTTTTGTTTCATATATTTTTTTGATCTTTGAATTTTTTTTTAAAGTTTTATTAAGATATATTTCTGTACCGTAAAATTCACCCACATAAAGCATATAATTCAATGGTTTTTAGTGCATAGACAGTTGCCCAACTATCACCAGGATCAATTTCATCACCCCAAAAGGAAACCATGTATCCATGAACAGTCATTCCCTGTTCTCCCCTCTCCCCAGCACTTGGCAACCACTAATCTTTCTGTCTCTACAGTTTTGCCTACTCTGGGCATTTCATATAAGTGGAATCATTCAATATTGGTTTTTTGTGACTGGCTTCTTTCAGTTAGTATAATGATTTCAAGATCATCCATGTTACACGTATCAGTATTTCACTGCTTTTTACTGCCAAATAACATTCCATTATTTATCCATTTATCCCTTGTGGACATTCTGATTGTTCTTTTCAATTTCATAAAACTTATGACTTGTATAATTTAAAACAAAACAAATTTTTAAAATATGACTCCGAATTTCATGTTGAGCTAACACTTGCCCCACTCAGGTATTCACGATTTAATGAACTCTGAAGGTTCATTTATAGTCGATAGATGAACAATGAACACACCTTAAGTCCATTCTAATCAAGTACTAACCAACATGATTATAAGATTACCTGTATGCCTTCACCATACTGTATGATTAATGTAATTAGTCAAATATATCAGGTGAAAAGAAGGGTAAAAAGGGACTTCCCTGGTGGCGACGTGGTTAAGAATCCACCTGCCAATGCAGGGGACACAGGTTTGAGCCCTGGTCCGAGAAGATCCCACATGCTGCGGAGCAGCTAAGCCCGTGCGCCACAACTACTGAGCCCGCGTGCCACAACTACTGAAGCCTGTGCGCCTACAGCCAGTGCTCCACAACAAGAGAAGCCACCGCAACGAGAAGCCCGCGCACAACAAAGAGTAGCCCCTGCTCGCCACAACTAGAGAAAGCCTGCGCACAGCAACGAAGACCCAGTGCAGCCAAAAATAAATAAATAAAATAAATAAATTTATTTTAAAAAAGAGGGTAAAAATTAATTGCAAGTCTGCCTGTATAGCTTTAAAACAGAAAGAGAGGAAAATAATTCTATTTCTCTGATTAAATGTTTTTGGTTTTGGTCATACGGATATTTGCTAAATGAACAGGAATAATGGTAAAGATGAAGAAAATTAACATCACTTTGTTTTGTCTTCTAAATACCTCTCCATTTTACAAATGAGAACAATGGCTCAAAGAAAGTAAGTAATTTCCCATTTGTACATCGCTAGTAAACAGTAGAGCCAGGGAGTTAAAATGGATCTCTCTGGAACCCTGAGGCCCATTTCACCTTTCCTATAACAAGTGAAATCGTGATGGGCAACTGTTCTTTACTTCCAATGAAAACAAAACAAAAATAGGCGAGTTTACATATTATATGTCAACGTAAAAGCAATCTAAAATTTCAGCCCAAAAGTTGGTACACAGAAGAGGATTAGGAAGATGTTCCTAAGCAAATTATGACACTAAAGGGAAAGTCCAGAGGTGAAATGAGCATTTATGAATGGTATAAGGCATGCCTCCACCACCACGCAGGGAAGTGTGTAACTTTTCTAGAGTTTGTCAGCTGGGGTCATCCAGTCTCCACCATTTATTATAAACCACCCAAAACTTGGGCAGATCTCGATGACTTGGTTTTCCCTTCCTTAAACTGGGGCTTTTTACCCGTAGGTGGTTTTAAAAGTAAATGAGGCTCTGCAACATTCTTCCCGACGAAAGAGAGCCACATACCCTAGTCTAGGAGTCCGAAGCCCTAGATTCTAATTGTCTCGGCTTCTAATTAGTTGTGTGGCTCTGAGCAAGACACTCAAGGTCTCAGTGTCCTCATCTACAAAAAGAGGATGGTCCCAGAGACGATCTTAAGCCCCGTCCTGCTTTATCCATTTGAGATTCCTCTCCAAAGGGGGCCCTGACTTGTCCGGGATTTCCATCGCCCCCCTCGGGTTCCTCCACCCCCTCCCTCCCCCGGCTGGGCAACACGGGTACCAGGAGAGCCCCAGCCCGGCCTCCAGGATGCACTCAACTCACTCACCGACTTCTCGTCTCCCATTTTCCCTGAAGGGCTACTCGCCTTCTCCTCGGACACTGGCAAACCACTAAGAGAAAACTAAACCCCAAAACTTCGGTCAGGAGGAAAGGACAGTGGTCGCCAGGCAGAGGTGGATTGGAACGCCCAGGAACACTGCGCTTGCGCCACGTGGCCCGGGAGGGACCTGCTGATGCAACAGGAAAGCGCCCAAACTCCGCCTCCTAACCTGATGGATGACGGGCAGCTAATTGACAACGGGGAATGGCGGGTCCTCCTTTCTCTAAACCAAGCTTGTAGGGCGACAACCCTTCTAGAAAATCAGGGTGCGGCGGGCCGGGAGAAGAAACTACAGACGCTAAACCTGCACCCTCTGCCCGTCAGGTATTGAGCCTTTCCCAGAGCCCAGAAGTCCGCAATGCGCGTGCGCCTTCTTCAGTCTGACTTGGCTTATTATTCCAGGGCCTTTTCGGCCACCGTAGCGAAGAAGAGGGGCTGTCTTGAGCTTCCGGCAAATCTCCGGCAAGCTGAATACCATCCCTGGCAGTGGGATGAACACCGGAATAGAGGCCGAAGTTCGCTGCTGCTTCGGCGCCACCTGACCTGGAGTGACTGCTGAGTTCTGGGGACTACTCAGGGCCCCGAAGTCTGTGGCGGTGAATCGACTGAGCCCTCCTTATTGCACTCCAGCGTTCCCAAGACCCAAGCCTTGGTGATCCAGGGGCGAGCGCCCTTCCTCGGACATTCCTTTGTACACGCCACCGCCCATCTATCGGGGAGCATTTCCACAGAGCCCATGAGAATGCAGCGAATCTTTTGCTTAAGAAAATAACCACGCCGACCCCAGGGATTCTCTCAGGCAGAGGTCTCAGTGTTTGTAATCCAATGGCTCTATTTTCATTTACCAGCCAATTTAAAACAGTTGCTGATTTGAAATCAGAAGCACAATGAGCTCGTTTATAATTTATATACTCCATCACCAAGTTTTGTGGATTTTACTTTCTCAACATCAGCTCTCAACTTGCCACCTTCAGGGTCATCCTTCCATGAAGCTCAATAATCAGTAGCCTCCTAACCTGACTTTGTGTTCATTTTTCACATGGCGCCAGAATAGTATTTTTAAATACAAATAGGATCATGGCAACCTCCAACTTAAAATTCTTCAAGTATTTTTCAGTATAAAGATAGTCATGGCTTTGAGGGCCTCTGCCCTGCTTTCCCACTTTCCCACCATACACTGAACTGAACCTTAGTGACCTTATTTCTCAGGTCTTCTCCCACAGATTTTTTTGTACCTGCTGAGATTATTCTCCCCATCCTCATCTCTGCCTGCCCCAGGTCCTTTTTTGCATATTTAGCACATACTTAGTTGTTAGATCTCAAGAATCGTTTCCTTAGGGGGAACCATTCTTGACCACCCTTACCAGATGGGGCAAGTCTCCCTGTTATATATTCTGATAGCTTCCTGGAGCTCTCTTTATAGCACCTATCAGTTCAGTTTTACAATTAAAAAAATATTTTATTGCCTCAGATTGAAAACTTCACGAAAGCACAACTTGTGTATTTTTTCCAGCATCTAGCAGATATAAGCCTGGCACACAGTTAATGTTCAGTACATGTTGAGGGAATTAATGAGTGTTGAGACAATCGTTGCTTGAAAAACTTCCTCTTAATCTGGATTGTGAAAGAAAGAAGCCCAAACCCCTGTACTAATGAGATTTAGAAGAAGCTTTATAATAAGAGTAGATTATTGATAGTACTTGGTGGGTATTCTCTTTAAGAAGTTCCAGTAGTTAGACGCAATTTCATAGGCTTAAGTAAACCAATCTGACTTCCCTTATTTAAATTGCAATGAGAATCAACAGGATCTAGTCTTACCTTCTAATGCAAAACTGTTTAGTTATGCTCATTAGACATGTTTTCCCGAGAATTGTATCTTAATTATTTAAAAAAATTTTTTAAACATTTATTTATTTTTGGCTGCGTTGGATCTTTGCTGCTGCGCACGGGCTTTCTCTATTTATGGTGAGCGGGGGCTACTCTTTGTTGCGGTGCGCTGGCTTCTCATTGCGGTGGCTTCTCTTGTTGTGGAGCACTGGCTCTAGGCGCGCGGGCTTCAGTAGTTGTGGCACGTGGGCTTCAGCAGTTGTGGCTCGCGGGCTCTAGAGCGTAGGCTGAGTAGTTGTGGCGCACGGGCTTAGTTGCTCCGCGGCATGTGGGATGTTCCGAGACCAGTGCTTGAACCCGTATCCCCTGCATTTGCAGGTGGATTCTTAACCACTATGCCACCAGGGAAGCCGGAATTGTATCTTAATTTTAAATGAGAATAATGAGGGCCAGAAAGATCAAGATACTGAATTTGCTAGAGGCAGAATAATAATGGCTAAAAAATTACAGATTGTTCTTATCCCTGTGAAACTTGGTTTTTAGCAGCCTCTCTTAATCCCTTGTTCTCATGTAACCTCAGAACCAGTCCTGGCCTAAGAATGGCAAAAAGAAAAAGCAGAAGGTTTTTCTGAGAGGTTGAATGTGGTGCAGGAATGTATTGATAGAAGCAGCTGCAAAAAAAAAAAAAAAAAAAAAAATCAGTTGCTGGCAGTATCCTGATGGCACAGTGTCCTCTGGTGTTAGGAAGGGGTACTTTCATCATGCACATTAAGGGCTAAGCAAAGATGATGGGAGCTTCCTGCAGATCCAGAGCACAACATGCTCTTATGCAACTTTATTTGTATTTACCAACAAAAAAAATATTGACTGACATCCAGTGTTATAATTTATGCCTACTACTCTACATACTTTCTAGGACAGTGATTCTCAACATCTCTGCTTTGAGAAGTGGAACAAAATTATTTAAGAGCTACGCTACAAAAAATGTTAAAAATAATAGAAGATTGCACATAATCAACTTTTTAGAAATATGAATTAGAGAAGATTCAAGATGATCTATAATCTCTTATTCACTCAGGTAAGAACATTAAAAAAGAAAGGAAGTACAGAGGGTGTGTAACAATGGAAGATTGCATGGAAAGTTCTCCTTTGCTGTTAGTACATCTCAGGAAAACATTCAGCTGGAACATAACCAGGTAAGAATGAATCTGATTACAGTGAGAATGGGGAGGCATGGTCTTTTGGTTGCAAGAAGGAAACTCATTTGGTGATTTTGACAAATAGGAAATTTATTCTTAAATAACATGAAGTAGAAAGGGAAAGGAGAATCTCATCTGTGTAGCCAGGCCAGGTGGATTGCAGGAAAATTGACAACTGGGCCTCATGTGAGGCTGCAAAGACTGCAGCTTGATGGTTGATCAGAATCCGAGGTGCTCTGTAGTATAAGGAAGTTGTGCCTTTGAACTCTAGTACTCTGCTAGTAACAAGATTCAGTCAGTCTTGTCTTTTGCTTCTCCTCCTATTACCAACTGGCCAATTTATTCCACATGTCCTGGTTCAAGTTACCAGAGAGAATCAGAGTAGTTGTCTAATTGCCAAGCCACATCATCATAAGTCACAGGCCAACTTATGGATGGATTGGTTGTTCCTTAGGTCGGGTGCCTCCCCTGGTCTTATCTGTAATGGCTGAGGGGCTGGTCATGTGGTTTAGCCATTGTGCTGCAGGGATCAGCTGTTTTCCTCATGGACTGGGGGCACCTTTAGAAGGAGACGCTGAGCATGACAGGTGCTGCGAGTGTTATCTCTAAGGCAAAACGTGTTTGTGATTCATTGAGCAGTATTTACAGTTACTATAAAGGAATTTGGGTGCTATTTCACTTAAAAAGAACTAAGAGGGTGTTTTTGTGGAGGTTTTTGTTGGGGAGGGGATGCAAGGGTGCTTAACTTCTAACAACATCTGACAAAACTAGTTGTTCCATGCAGTGCACTTTGGAAAATGTGACACCACTTATAAGGTGTTCATTATTATGATAAAATTACTTACCAGTCACATTTGGAGTGACACAATGCTTTCCAAATAAATCTTGGCTTATGTTTTAGTCTGAAATCATTAGAGCTATCAGACATATGGTCCTTACTGATATGAATTTTTTCCCTTCTGATTTCTTTGCAGTTAATCCTGCAAATCATTTTGTATCTGAAAAATATGGTTAAAATTGTGAATGCTGTTGAAGATGATACCAAGCATCATGCAGATTCATAGCATATAGCATCACTATAGACCACAGCACAGAAGATTATGCTGATGCAGATTTATTATATATATATATATATATATATATATATAAAACCATATGTTTACTCAGGGCACAAGCATAATTACTTGGTCAAATTGAAACTCACTGTCTAACTCTTTGGGTATTTTACACCAATGTTTCTGGTTTACTTTTCAAAACTGTCCAGATGTTCTGTGGGCATTTTGAATGACAGTGTCAACCTTTAGTAGGTGCTTCCAAAATAGAAAACCTATCTACACCTTGAAGAGGGCACTCTGTGGTGTTTGAACCCTGGTTTCTTCTGAGTTTTCCAGTTTGTTTAGTGGCTTTGCTTCCCAACCTGTTAGATTTTATTTCAGTGGATCTCATTGTTTTGACCTAATAACATCTAACACATTCCCCATTTTCTACTGCTTTTTTGAAGAATACCTTAGTTCTCTTCTACCTTCTACCTTTCTACCTCCATTTCCTATCTATCCTTTCGTTAAAGATACGCTTTTTCCCTTCTTGCCTCTACCATAGTAATTTTTTTCTTAAGGGAATTTCTCTCTGCAGCTTAATCAGCTTGTCTTCTTTTGTTTTACTTTCGGTGTAACACTGCTGATTTCTAACACTAAAACTGAAGTGTATTTTCCAAGCACCTCTCCTTCCTCTTGGTCTCCTAAGAACACCTGCTTCCCTGAGACAGAGACTTCAGACACAGGTCTTTTTAATATTTTAATTACCTTCTTCACCTTTGGGCTTGCAATAATTTAATTGAATTGTTTCTCTACTGCAATCCCCCAAAAGAACATATTGTCTTTGTAATAAAGGCCTATATCCTTGACTTTTTGTCAATAACACAAACTAATTAAAAAATGTTTTTTTTAATTCTCAAGAGTCTACTTAAGATCACATAGCTGGTGAAATCGCTGGATAAACCACAAAAGTCCAAAAAGTCACTCCCTCCAGGCTTTTATCCTTAAATAGAGTTCAAAAGTCATGCAAAGAGGAGCGGAATTTGGGACAGCTGATCTAGCTCTGCATACCTAGACCTCGTTCTAAAACGACAGCTAGTCCTAGTACTACCACAGAGCAGAGCTCTATAGTCCGTGTGTATCTTAGCTGCCTTTGTGCTTTAATATCCTGCACATGGGCAGAAAAAGACTATAAAAAGCAAATATTATTCCTTTTGACAGTACTTGACAGAATGCCCCAGCCTAATGTTTAGTGCAGGGAAATACTGAAGCAGCCACTCTCTCAGGCAGATCCTGCAGACCCTGTCTGATATCTTCACGTTCTTCAGCTATAAAATGTAGATAAGAATAACACGTGATTCTGGAACTTGTTGGGAGAATAAAATGAAACTAGGTGTATGAAAAGTCCTTTGCAAACTCTAAAGGGCTGTAAAAGTTAATAATGTTTGGGGAAATGAATGTTCTGGCTAATTACCCTCTCAGGTTTACTCTAGGTTCATTAGGAACTATCCTAAACAATCCCCCTGAATTAATCTTCAGTTTTGTCATACCTCTTCTTTGCTGAGAACCTTACAATGATTTTTCATTGCCTAGAGCAAAGGTTGTCCTTATCCTAGCAATAAAGAGCTTTCGCGACTTAGGCCCTCGTAACTTTCCAGTTTATGTTTCTGCCCTCATAAATTCCAGTGAAATAGATGTACCCCAGGAGAGGTGACAGTGTTTTTCTGTATCCTGGCCTTTGCTCACTTGCTCATGATCTTAGCCCTTCAGATCCATCTAAATCTTGCCATTTGTCTATGGCCAGCATAAGGCCTTAGCAAACCTCATAGTTACCATTTGTATCTAGAGCATATGTTGGGTATATATTTCTTTTGGAAGTTAATCAGATGTTGGGAACCTGAATGTGCCTCATGGCAATTAAGGGTCACATTTGCAGCGTTTCTCACCTCTCCCTTTTTCTATGCAGGCTCATAGGACTCAGCTTACTTCCCTTTTCTCTGAAGATGCCAGAAGCTACTTTCTTTCCAGAGACTTTTCTTCTCCGAGACAGATTGTGAGATGGGATTCTTCTCACCTCCTCTCTCGTGTATGTCGCTGAAATGAAGTCCATAGTGTTTCTTATTTTAAGCATTTGCATTTGCCTTTGTAGAGAGTAGATGGGGGAATGACAGAGGACAGAGGTAGCAAATAGGGAGACACGTGATCAATTTTACAGTGTTCTAATATTCTCCTTCCTTCACCTGTGTTTTCTGGGTCCTTTCCTGCTCTGTGATCTGCTTCTTTTATCTCAGCACAGAGCTCAAGGAGCACCACTCCTCCAGTTCCTCACCATTCAGGGGCCCTCTGGCTGTAGGATGGTCATTTACATCCCAGGGGCTCCAGCCTAGGTGCTTCACATTCAAACATCTGTGTTCCAGGTGGAAATCTCTACTGCTTTTGAGCAACTTATTTAATCCCCATAATTATTCTGCATGGTACCTCATCATTTTGGAAACAGATTTAGGGAGGTTAAGTGGTTTGGTCACAGTTATAGAGTTAGTAAAATCAGGGCTAGGAGTGGACCACAGGTCTATTGTCTCCAAAATGTATGTTTCTTCCACTCTTCCAAACTGCATCACCTCAACACTGGGTGATTTCCTGGCAATCATGGACTATCACATGAAAGCATATGAAGGCATTCCTGTTGTTATGTTGATCTTAGTGTTTGTATCTTTTATCATTTTTAACTTTTATTTTAATATTTAGGAATATTGTCTCCATATTCTTCATACAGCTAACTGAAGACAGAAACACTGTTTTATGTGTCACTGTATTAGCCACTGCACCTTTACTAAGAGTTTACTGCATAGCATGTGTTTACCGTATATTTATTGGTTAGTTGTTCCAGAAAGGTTTTGAGGAATAAATAGCTTCTTTTACCTGTTTTCTTTTTTATGTATAGTGTAACTAGGATCATAATTCTAATTTTTCTTCACTGAGTGACAGTCTTGCAAGTGAAGAGTGATCTCAGCACATGAGAAATGACAAAACAAAACCAAAAGATGTTTAAAATTGTGTGTCTATAACGGGCCACGTAGAAATGGGGTAGGGGTTTAAAAAAAAAAGGTCCTGGACAGAGAAGCAGAATTTAGAGATGATGGCCAATGTATAGAGAGTTTACACTTTTTTTCAGGACCAATGAAGAGACATAAGAAGGATTAGGTCTATCAGATTTGTCTTAGGAATGTTACGCTGGCTGTACCAGAGAGAGTGGATTGTAGTGGAGTGAAGCTGGAAGCAGAGTGATCTGGTCCCCCTTATTTGGGATCTAGCTTTGCTTCCCCAGCCCCACCCAACTTCCCACATTACTGTCCTAGCCAGGATGCGTAATCCTGTTAATCAGTGGGAAATTGAGTTTCCACTAGACAATGTCCCACCTCAAATAATCAGGCAGGAGGAGTTTCCTCTCACTTAGCTTTTTTATTCTATTCAGATCTTCAGTGGATCATTAGGAAGGCGCAGTCTGCTTTAGTCTATTCATTCAGATGTTACTCTTATCCAGAAATACCCTCACAGACACGCGCAGAAAAATGGGGAAGACAAACTGGCCAAGGCTGGGTCATGAACTTCTGGGGCTGAATCTCCTCTGGGGCCAAGGGAGACCCACCCAAGTGATGCAGAATGAAGATGAGTGGTTTTCCAATGGAAGGTAGGGAAAACAGTCCAATAAACTTATCTTCTTTTTGGCCACACAAGTAATACACAATTACATTTTTATTTTATAAAATTGCACACTCTTCACTACATTTAAAAAGGATATATTGACAATATGTTACCAATCCTTGATTGATAAGTAGGTAGATAAATAGATGATAGATAGATAGTAAATATATAGATTTTAGCATCAGTGATAGGCTCAATATAACTGTAGGTACCGGGGCCACAAAAATGAGTGAGACCTGGGGTTCTTAGTCTCATGAAACT